GTGTGTGTGTGTGTGTGTGTGTGTGGTCACAGTAATAAGCAGCAGCAGATCCAATTCCAGCATCCAAAATATGCAATCATAAAATCATATTCATATTTCAGTAGCTCCGTGCTCTCATCTGACAGCTCTGCGAGAGTGAAATGTTCATGAAATGTTTTCATCTGTGCGCAACAACCAACAGCCATCAATATTTTACACTGAATAATTGTCATCAATATTTGAGCATGAGTGTGTGTGTGCTGCATTTGAACTCACTGATTCTCTCTTGCTTAGCAAACAGCTTCATGCATTTGGATGAGGGGGCGGGGGGGGCGTTCAGTTCTCCATGATGTAACGGTGAGGCATCGTTAGGATGCTGTGAAGGTCAACACCACCACCATCTAGTGGAAGACACAGTCTAATACAATACGTTTGAGCTTTAAAAAGAAATAAGAAAAAAAGCTAAGAAGCTCGCCGTCACAGTGAAATTTCGAAAGAGTACCCCAAGCAAGCAAAAACGAAAACAATGTGGAGGTTAAATTAAAATGAAAAGAGCACTCGTCTCCATAAAAACAGTCAAGTCTATTCAAATCAAAGCTATATTGTAGAACCCAGCTTACGGTGAGGCATCGTTAGGATGCTGTGAAGGTCAACACCACCACCATCTAGTGGAAGACACAGTCTAATGCAATACGTTTCAGCTTTAAAAAGAAATAAGGAAAAAAAAAGCTCAGAAGCTAGCCGTCACAGTGAAATTTCGAAAGAGTACTGCAAGCAAGCAAAAACGAAAACAATGTGGAGGTTAAATTAAAATGAAAAGAGCACCCGTCTCCATAAAAACAGTCATGTCTATTCAAATCAAAGCTATATTGTAGAAGCCAGCTATTCAAGAGGGGTCAGGATCAACCGCGAATAGCGAGTTACGTTGAGCCTTACATGTCGGAATTTTACATTTTACAATTAAGTGGTTATTTCTTTCCATACCCTGTTGCGTCACGGCTAACTCTAGCATCGATGTTAGCCAAAAAAGGGAACGAGTCCTTCGGTTTACAAGTCCTCGAGTCCTTTTAGGGAAAACTAAAACAAGTTGAAACGTTGACCTCAGCAGTCAAAATGGCTCATTTTAATTCTTCAATTAATATCAGTTATTTTTCTAAAGCGGGGAAGCATTGCACCGTCAGTTACGTTTAGCCTTACATGTCGGAATTTTACATTTTACAATTAAGTGGTTACAGTATTTCCTTCCACACCCTGTTGCGTCACGGCTAACTCTAGCATCGATGTTAGCCAAAAAAGGAACGAGTCCTTCGGTTTACAATTCCTCGAGTGCTTTTAGGTTAAAGTAAAACAAGTTGAAACGTTAAAATGGCTCATTTTAATTCTTCAATTAATCTCAGTTATTTTTCTAAAGCGGGGAAGCACTGCACCGTCGCGGCTGAAGCAAGTTATCAATGTTAGCCATTGAACAGTTTAAGTACTTTCGCTTCAAATGGCGGCTCTTTTTGTGGAGTAAACGACAAACAAAAAGTAAACTACACGTTATATACACAAACATAAATATAAAAGATAGCTACAGACTGTTTATGTCGTCCTTACCTTGGTTCGCCATTGCCGTTTCCTACCAATAGTAGGCTAAGGTAACTGCCAAGCACCTGATTGGTCCTTTCTGGGGGTGGTCAATTAAGGCTCAAATTGAATTAAATTTGTACATATTGCTTCACCTTGCATCTCCCTCGAAAATAGGAGTGAAATGGTACCTGGAAGCACAGAGCAATAAAATTATATCAGCTGTTCATGTTGGTTGGCCTTCAAGACAAAACTGTAACCTCACAAAGACAAAAACCAAGCATGAAGATGAACTCTTTATTTTAATCTTTGTTGGCTGTCAGTTTACAACATGTGCACAACATCTTTTTGGGTCCAAGCAGACAATAACATGTATGTAGGCTCATTAAATGGTCAAAAAAAACAAAACAAACAATCACGCCCAGTAGCTCAGTTGGTCTTTTTAAGTGCATTAAGCTTCCATGGTTTCGCAGTGGTGTTTTTACTGGGTGATGCCGATGACGCCGCAAGCCAGACGTCCGCCGGCGTTACCCGTCTTTAAGCTCTCCTCGTTGTTACCTCTGCCCAAGTCGTCTGCCTTCTCGTGGATCTGAAACACAGGACATTTAATGCAAACTCAAATCAAGTTCTGCGCACCAACGCAAAGGGTAAGATTACTTACCACCATGGTTCTGCCAATAATTGAGTTTGGGCCGGTGAGGGAGATCACACTGTCTGTGATGTCGATTTTGGCCACCTTATCAGCACCCGCGGTCACGTTGCCCAGGTCGCCGACATGCCTGTTCAAGCATTTTAAGACAAAACTCAGTGAACCTCCAATTGACAAAACCATTGGCAGATGGTGTAATATGACTAGTGGTGTTGGCTGCCAGGAAAGCAGGTGACTTTTCAAAGACAAATCACCAAAAGGCAATCAGCGGAGGGCACAATACAACCACTTGCCGAAATGGGCTTCCGTCAAAAATGAAAGCGGAAAAGAGAACCTAAACAAGAAGAGTGATGCTTCAAAAATCTCTCCACAACTGATTCACAACATAATCAGAAAAGGGTGCAGTTGTAACAGACCTGACGAGTCCTACTAGAGTCAGCTGCCAATTAAAAAAAAAAACAAAAAAACCTTAACTACTCAATTAGAAGAGAGACACGCGTTAAACCAGAAGAAATATAAATTTTAATCCTTTCCTTCAGTAGATAAAGTACAGCCTCTGAAACGTACATCAGTACAACTATTTACAACACGTCATCCACAAACCTAAAAATGTGCCAATTCCAATTTGACAAAGCACAGAGTAGAAAGTACAGCAATAAAAATGTGTCAGATTAGTAAAAACTCGACAGACTACTCAAGCACAGGAATAAAAGGATCGTTCCTGATTTGCTTCCCACCACTGGGAACACGACATACCTATCTGGATCGTTCGGACCGGCGTGATTTTTCTGGAGCGGGTTGAAGTGAGGGCCAGCACTGATACACCCTGGACAAGAAAAACAAGCCGTGTACTCATGTGACATTCTCTATTAAAAGGGAGAACATGCATCCATTGTCCATTATCGCCGACCGTTCGTGTTGTCTCCAAAGGTGTGGACGTGGAAGCCGTGCTCGCCTGGTGTGAGGCCATCAATTTGTCCCGTCAGCTTCACAGGGCTGAACTCGCTCTGACGTTTCAAGAACAGCAGCAACACAAGACCCGTCAAGGCCAGATGACAAACCGCCACGCCAAACAAAAACCACCCAATGAACAGAATTTTGGAGGAGGGGAGAAAAAAAAACTGGAAAAGCTTGATGTTTAGTTTTAAACACCAGCTGTCAATCAACCCGTGTGACTGACAAGGTGTCAATCATTTGCTGCACAGTCTTTGGTCATTAGCACCCATCGCAGCCTTTTGCACTGCTCAGTCAGCTTTGATGACCATTTAAAAACAATAGTTAAAAACAAACAAAAAATAAAAATAGACGTTCCATGTTTGCTGGGCAAGACGAGTAAACCAAAGCAACTCAAAATCGAAACTATCGGCTTTTTGTATCGATCCTATTGCCGTTCGCTGATGTAGCCTGTAAACAGGACGGCAGTTTGAGCGATACAAACTGGCCGTGACTCAGCACTTTGTCTGTGCGGGTCACACCTAAAAACACTTTCCCTTACACTAAATGGGTGATCATTTATTTTGGGTACAATGACGTTTTTAAGCGAAAACGCAACTCGTATGTCCGATTTATGCAACAGGCGAGGAGATGCCGGTCAATCATTAATCCTTCGGCGTGCAAAGGTTAAATGAAGCCAATTGATTTTTTCAAGCATACTACATACATTGCAATGACCGCGTTTAAAGCGTTCGCCTGAAGGATAATTGCACATGTTGGGCAATGACGTCGTATTTTCGGCTAGGTAAAGATAAACTGAATTAATAGGCAGTGGGTTATTAGAAGTAAACTTTTACTATATTTGACGGAAAGTGTTCGCTATGTGAAGAATTCAAGTAGCAAAAAGTGCGACTGAACATAAACAAAGTAGCGTTAAAATGAATAACTGAGCTAGCTTAGCACAAGCTCCGACGCACCGCGAACTTTACTTGAGCACGATAAAATGCTCTTTTAATTTCCTTTAGCTGTCACAAGAATTACCTCCTGCTGGAAATACACCGTTCCGCTGGTTTCACCGGTTCCTCTCAGCACACAAACGGCTTTAAGCGCCATTTTGTTCGAGATAGTTTGCTGCATGGCGATTCGGACGTCGGTGCAAACGAGTCAGGGCCAACTGCTGCACGAACAGAGTCAACCAAGCTCAACTAGCAGTCTGAATTGGGCGGGTGCTCCTGGCAGCCAATCAGCGGCACCCCACTGCCTCTCCTCCCATGTCTGATTGGCCGTTTTGTGTATATGTAAATATAACCGGAAGCTAGTGACAGAACGTCAACATTTTATTTTAAATTGTGATTAGAGAACAATTCAATTTACAGACACGAATATTGATGGAAACAAAGCATATAAAATATGTTAAATTCAAATATAGAAATGCATACAGCTTCACAAACTTCTTGAAACAAGCCAGGCAGTCCTATCTGCTCGATAAAGTCAAATGCCTTGAAAATTAAGTAGAAGTAGTCAAGAAGATCTCAGGAACCGAATTTTATTGGAAATATGTCTGCTGGGCATAAAGTCTGATTGTGTCACTTTAACTCTCCTGGCTAATACGGAAGCAACCATTTTACACTCATTATTGACGGAGCATCAGTTAGTTCTTTGTACACATGAATTTACAAGTCATGCATTCTGTGTAGTTCATTAGTTTATTTACCAAAATACCAAATTAACCCACAAGGCAAAAAGTTGCAACAAAAGTTGTTTTTTTTGGGGGGGGTACTGTGAACCAATGCTTTGCTGTATTTTTATTCTTACATTATTATTTAATGTCATCTTAATTTTGTATTTCCCGAGTTCTTAATTGTGATCGTAATTAGTGATTCCCACAAATTCCATAAAGTTTTAAAAAAAGAAAACACACATACTGTATTCATAAACATTCATGTGTCACAAGTTGAGGATGATACCAAATCAAACAGTGTTTTTGAATCATTATTCGCATCTTGACAAAAATGGCCGATTTGGTACAAAAATAGTTTATTAAAAACATTTTTTGTGGTTGAAATGTTGAACACTTTACATCGATGTCTTTTTTAAGGGTTAACAAAGCCGTTCACACAGCCAAAGAGCTTAAAGCAAAAGTTCCGATTCCTTCTGGGTCCTTCAAAGGCTGTGCCGTCGGTGGACAAACGAGGAGCATCGTCATGATAACGCCCAGCTAGTGACAGTGAAAAGCATATTTACAGTGGAGAGCCCGGCTGTCATTTGACTCGGTTTTCCTTCGGGATTCAAATGATTCAAGTAATGGGGCAGGTGTTACGGATGTTACAGTAGTTTGCCAATGCAAAACAAAAACAACAATAAAACAAACAAGGAAGTGTGAGAAGAAAAAAAAAACCAACAGCAACAACCTACTTTGGAAAAACTTGACAATGACAATTGGAGTGCCTCAGGCATTGTTCGGATAATTAGGCAGATCAATTTTGTAGTATTAAAAATGACATTACATGATAAGACTGCAAATGTTCTGGGCATTCACAAGAAAATTTACTTTCCACTCCAAGTATGACTAATTTGTGAAACTTAAAATGTTGCATATGGTTTGACCCTCCCCCTGCCCAACTTTTAGCCCCTTGAGGGGAAAAAAAGAATTTAAAAAGCGATGCCAGCATCAGACATTTTTTTAAAATATCGGCCTAAGATATTTCAGCTTTAAAAAGGTTCACATTAGCTTCAAACGTGCCAATTTGAAAAAAAATGCCCCAAATAATCCTGACAGGAAAAAATTAAGCCAACTTTTCTCACTTTAAAAATATATTTTTTTTCAAGATTTTTTAAACTCGGTCAATAGGAGAAGGGTCAAAAGTAAACATGCAAGCACGGTGCTTTAAATGAATGCCACTTTGTACTCAAGAGGTGCACAAATCAATCACTTGATCAAGAATTAACTGATTAAAAAAATCGTCAACAATTTTGACAATTGATTGTGTGAGATGACTTGTTTAACGTAAACTGTGCAAATCCTCAGCATTTCTGCCTCTGAACTATAAATATTCAGTTTTCTACAGTCCATGAAAGCAGACTGATGATCACTGTTCAATTACGACTTTTGCAAACATCTGATTTGACTTTGGATAACAATTTGACATTTTTGCATATTTTCCATCATTTTTTTTTTTACCAAATCAGATGTGATGGAAATCCGATCTTTTTTTTATCCGATTCAGTGATAAATTGAAAATTAATTTTCTGCTTAATCTAACTGTTAATTGCAATCCTACCCCCGCCTCCCAAAAAAATAAAATAATAATAATTAAAAGCAGATGACTGAAGTAGCACTTGAAAATGTCATTTGGGATGGAGTGGCTGAAAAGCATGAAGTTAAAAAAAAAAATCTACAAACTTGATTAAATAGGTAAAAGCTGAAAGGAGCACAAGTAAAATGGCCATGCCGCATTCACACAATGTACAGGGAAGGAAACGAGGCAACATGTTCACTTGGCGCTCAAGTCACAGTTCATGTAGTTGCAGCTAGAGGGAGACAGAGCACCCGCTACGACGTCGCTTCCTATTTGGCTTCGACAGAGGGCGGCGCTGCCTTGGAAGACTCAGCAGCGGGAGGTGCCGACCCGACAGTCTTTTGGGGTGCTTCGGCTGGTCCCGTGGCAACGGCGTCAAGGGTCCGGACCTTGTCCATTTTGTCCAGCTCAGCCAAGCGGTCGTCGCGATCCCACCGGCTGGCTCTTTCCCGCCGCTTAGGGCGCTCGCCTTCTTTCCCTTTCTCCTGGGCCTCTCTGCTGCCGTTCTCCCGGTCTCGCCAGTCCCGTCTGTCTCTGTCCCATCCGCCACCGTCCAGTCGGTCCCTGGCGTCCGAGCGGTCGCCGCCAAATGGGCGCCTCGTGGCGCCACCGAATCCCCGCTCTCTCTCCGGCTCCCGCTCCCTGAATCCGGAACGCTCGCCCCGAAAAGGGCGGCCGTCATCGTCCTCGATCACACGTGGGGCTCCAGGCCTGATGAAAGGGGGACTCGGAAGGGTAGGACCCTGAGGGGGCGGACCTTGATGTGGGGGAACTTGAGGTGGCGGACCTTGAGGAGGCGGACCTTGAGGCGGCAGGCCGTGAGGGGGCGGACCTTGAGGGGGTGGGCCGTGAGGTGGGAAGGGCGGCCTCATGCTGTGGGGCATCCCAAAGGCTCCTTTCGGTGGAGGGGTGTCATGGCGCATCGGGGGAGGGTGCGGCCCCCTGGGAACCATCTGAGGCGGGACAGGCGGCGGCGGGAAACGCTGAACATGCAGCGGAGGAGGGCCAGGGGGGCGCTGCAGCGGGATCATACCGGGCCGGGCCCCCAGCAAACCGCCTGGCTGGGGCTGGATGCTGAAGTTGGGAGCGTCCGGGACCTCCTCGTGCTTCCTGCTAACCAGAGGCATGTCGTCCCCTTTGGAGGGCGGCGGCGGCGGCATGGAGAGAGGCATGGCCCCAGGCGGGGGGAAACCTGGGAGAGAGGCCTAGTTATTAGCCCGCCATTTTGTTTGAAAGCGGGCGGCCATTTCAGAGTCACTCTCGCTACTTCCAGCAGTCCCTCAAAGACGACCTTGTCATTTGAGATTCTGTCCGAGTGTTGCCAAATTTGTGCAACACTTGAGTGCAACCAATTTTAATTTTTGTCTTTGCTCGTCGAAAGCGCATGTTGGTGAAGTTTGACGGTCAGAGATGCAGCCAAATGTGTGAAAAATCAAAGGACAGTTTCACTTAGCAAGGTGAAATTTGGATCATTGGGCTGATTTTAAATCATAATTAATCACAGCTCATGGCTTCAACTATTATGATCAAATATAAACACGCGAGAGTGCTGCAGGTGATACCTGGAGGCATCTGCATGGGGTTGAAGCCCGGTCTCATGAACGGCGGCGGGGGCATGCCGGGCGGGAAAGAAGGCGGCGGCATGCTCATGTTGGCGGGGAAGCCGGGTGGCGGCACCGCGCTCATGCCGAGCATCGGCGGAACCTGAAGAAAAAGGCGCGCCGTTAAAGAGAAACGTTCAACAGATTTTCTATCCAAAGTCATGAGAAAGACGGATCACCTGCGTCGGATGAAGAGGAGTCAACACGTGGGCGTCCTCGGGCTGCTGTGACTCAGCACCGCCGTTGTGGGTGAGCTCCCGTGGGTTCTCCAGAGCTTTCTTCACAGTCGTCCACTCTGGAAGCGACACAAAAAGGAAGCTTCGTTAACACACGGGGAAAGCAAAGTATACTTGAGTGACATTTGTGTGCTACCTGGCGCTAAAGTGTCCCCATCCAGGATTCCGCCTTCCTTCAGCTCCTCCAGCTGTTCCTCCCGGACTTTGGACCAGGGCAAGTAGGTGACGCCCAGCTCCACGTCCCAGAACTGCTTCAATTCAGCCTTGATGCCTTTGTTCAGAGCCCATGCAATCTGTTGACAGACCAAAATAAATCCATAATTCAAATCATAATAATAATTTGGAAAAAAAAAAACATAAGCATTGTTTCCACTTCAAATGAATGGTTGTCCCCCCCCCCAAAAAAACAAAAACAAAAAAAAACCCACACATCAACAACAACAACAAACAAAGTACACTTTCCACATACTTCAGGAATTATACTTGGTTATTTTTTTACTACTTAGTTTTCTCTAAACCCATTGTAATATCTTTAGAGATCAGGCAATAATGTTGAGATATTAAATTTTAGCCACGTCGCACAGCCCTCGCCAGGATGGTGCTTTAGTTTGACATTTTGGTTTGAGGAGGCATTTTTAATTAAAAGCATCATAGTGGCCAGAGAGCTCCACTCGTAAGACACTCCCAGCGATTGTTCTTTTTCACCTTGATGGCTTTTTGGTTGACTTTGTAGGAGCCTCGACTGAGCTTTTGCAGGGCCCTGAAGGCGTCCTGCCGGTGGACCATGACGATGTAGGCGCACCCTCGCGGAGGGATCATCTACACAAGACACACGTCATTGACACTCGTGGCACCTTTCGAGCAAATTCATGTTTCTTGCGACTCACGTTGATGGACTCGATCTGCCCGAACTCCTCCAGCAAGCTCGCCACATCCTGCTGCTGAGTCCTCTTGTCCAGCTGGCCCACCCATAAAGTCGTACTGCAGACTGAAGAGCACGCAATCAAGTCCACCGTGCAGCCACAAAAAAAAATGGGAGAGCGCACCGAAAGCGAGAGGCACTCA